AGAGAGAGAGAGAGAGAGAGAGAGAGAGAGAGAGAGAGAGAGAGAGAGAGAGAGAGAGAGAGAGAGAGAGAGAGAGAGAGGAGAGAGAGAGAGAGAAAGAGAGAGAGACAGAAAGAGAGAAAGAGCAAAGTAATTCAGGTGCGCGCTAATAAAAAAGCGACGAGAACGCACCGAGTGGCACAGAGACCGTCATCTCGTTTCGTGCGGCCCTTTCCTGAGGAGGCATTGCGACTGCATCGAGAACAAAAGGGACGATGAGAGCCCACCCTCGTGATTAGAAATCCCCAGATCGACTGTAAAACAAAAAGGCTCGCATCGATGAAATCGATAAAGTTTTTCTCCTTTCATGAAATTTATTCGCACGATATTTAATTTACAATTTAATTTACACCTATTTTATGCGAAGTGAGGCAATGTCTGACGATTAAATTAAGGAAATCATCATAAAAAGTACATAAAAAAATAATAAGACATCATCATTCTTTTTTTACCTTTTTAATAAAAATCATATCATTTTACTCCGATTACGCTTAATTTATTTGGCAGACTGAACGCAAGAACGTTTCGCGATCAAATTTCCTTCTTTGAGAAAGGCGAATGCTTTAGTCATGACCACAAAAGTCACGACATTTAGCGTCACGTAAAAGTGAGCCTTTAAGCAGCGAGAAATTAATTCTTCTTTCTTGGTCGAGGCGGCGCGCGCTCGCTTTTTCAAAGGAGGTCTTTCGCCGACTCGGGAATCTGTGAATTTTCTTTAAAGCACGCGAAAAGTCGAGCAACCTTCGTTCGACGCGGGGAAAAAGCCAGGGAAAGAAAAGGAATGGGGGATGGAGAGGAGGAGGAGGAGGAGGAGGAGGAAGAAGGGAATTGCGAGGAAACGGAGAGAAGGAATTCTCGACGTCCCGGAAAAATGCGCATTGTGTGCACGCACGAGGGCAACTACCCTCCCTCTCGTCTCCTCGTCATCCCTTGTCCTATCCCTATTTTTTCCGTTTTCACGAGAAAGAGCAGGAGAAGAGAAGAAGGAAGAGAAGTGGAAAGAGAGAGGGAAGGGGGAGAGAGAGAGAGAGAGAGAGGA